TGATGAGAAATGGAAAAATTGGAAATAAAGTCTTTGTAAATAGGGAAGGGTGGAGGTGGTGAAGGGAGGGCTAGGAATGGGGAAAAAATAAGAACGAAGATGCCTTATGTTAAGGTACAAGTTCCCAATGAGAAATGTAAATGTGTTGTATACCTAAAATGTACCAATAAAAGAATTTAAGAAAAAAAATTTTCCTGTTGAAATAATTTAGATATTGCAAAATGCAGCAATTTAAAGCACACAAGTCAGTGTTTCACGGTATGTTTATAAAGGTATGCGACATCATTATCCGATTTGTATCCCCAAAACAACCTGCTCCCATCCATTAGCAGACATTCCCCCTGCCCTTCCTTTTCCCTTTTCCCTACTCCCATCAGAGTCCCAGATACCAATTGGTTTACTTTATTTCTCTACAAAATTTGCCAGTTCTGAATAGTTATTGTAAATAGAACCATACATTATGATGTCTTTTGTGACAGATTTCTTTCATTTAGCATAATGTTTTCAAGGCTCATCCATGTTGTATCATATACTTCATGTGCTATGTAATTGTTTTGTACAGACACATCATTTTTTGTTTACCTATACCTCAGTTGATAAACATGTGCATGCTTTCTTCATTTTGGCTATTAGGAATAATTCTGGTGTTAATATTTTTGTATATCTTTGTATATATGAATAATTTTCTACATCTCTGTATATGAATATGCATATTTTCTTTTCTTTTGCTAGAATGTTTTCAAAGTAGATGTACCATTTCACCTTCCCATTAGTAACGTGTAAGGACTCTATTTTGTCTACATCCTTTCAAATGTTTGTAGATGTTTGTTTTGATTCTAGCCATCCTAGTGGTGTATAAAGTAGTAGTTTTGATTTGACATTTCCTGGCGATTAATGTTGTTGAGCATTTTTTCATGTATTTAATGGTTATTCTTTTGTCATTCTTGGAGGAAGAACTGTTTCCTACTTTTAGCTGGTTTGTCCTGTAGTTGTTGAGTTTAAGAATTCTTTAAATATTCTGTTTACTATGCCCTTATCAGATGTGTGGTTTGCAAATATTTTCTTCTAGCCCATAGGCTATACTTTCAACTTCTTCATTGTGTCCTTTGATGCACAAAAGTTTTTAAATGTGACATATCCAAATTTATCCATTTTTTGATGCTTACACATTTTGTGTCAAATATAAGAATACATTGACATATTAAAGGTCACCAAGAGTTGTGCAAATATTTATTGCTGACTTTTGAAGTTTTAGCTCTTATATTCAGGGCTTTGATTCATTTTGAGTTAATTTTTATATGTGGTGTGAGGGTTCCAACTTCTTTCTTTTGCATGTGGGTATCCAGTTGTTCCAGCACCATTTGTTGTACACTGTTTTTCTTTATTGAATGGTTTTGGTACAATTTACTGTGGACTTATGTGTATATTTGTTGACTGTGAATTCTATTCCTTTCATCTGTATGTCTAGCCTGATGCCTGCACTATATTGTTTTTATTATTACAGTTTGTAGTTTTTGCAATCAAGAAATATGAGTTCTCCAATTTTGATTTTTATTTTCAAGATTATGTTGGTGGTTCAGAACCTCTTGCAAGTCCACGAGAAATTTAGGAATAGCTTTTTAGTTTACAAAAAAATAGGCCATCAGGATTTTAAGAAGTATCCCATTGAATCTGTGGAAATTTGTTTGGATAATGTTGCTATCTTTAAAATGTTACGTTTAACTATGCATGAACATGAAAAGTTTTTTCATTTATTTAGGTCTTCTTTAAATTTTTCATCCATGTTCTATAGTTTTCAATGTAAAATTTAAAATACTCTTAAAGGCTAATAAATACACCCCAAAAATTATATAGTAATCTTATTACTTTTGAAGCAGCATCAAATTGTAAACAAGTAGCTTTTGAAAAAATATATGCAGTTTTTGTGCTTACATTGTGATTATGATATTTTCAATAACAAATGCAAACACTTGAGTGCTCTTGTTAAATCTGTGGCAGTGTTACTTCTTTTTATTTTATCATTGTAGTCCAACATGAAGAAACAACATATATAGCAATTGCTTTGAAATCATCAATTCACCTTTATGCATGGACATCAAAGTCCTTTGATGAAAGGACTGCTATTAAAGTGAGTGATCTCCTTTTCCTTTGGATCATACAATTTTTCTTTTGAGAAGAAAACTCAACAAATAGGACACACTTGTGTAAATACCGAATACTTTCTCTGGTGTGAAAAACTGAAAGCGTAAATAAGGATCAAAATGTATAACTGATATTGTGAAACAGGAAGAAAAGGTCTAAAGGAGTAGGGGAAGTGGGAGGGGTAGGGGAAAGAAAAGAAAGGAAAAGAAAGATACCAGAAAAGTCAACAAAGCAATATTTTTAATACAGATGCAATATATACCATTCTGCAACAGTTACTGCTGTTTGAATATATCATGTCAGTAATTTTCATTTAGCCCTTTTCAACCCTTTTTTAAACAATACACAAGTATCACACCAAGGGAGAATGTGAGGGAAATCCCTCACCCCACTCTCACCACCCGTCTTACTGAACCTCCACACAAGCTGCTCACACGCAATTCTGCAGTCAACACTAATATCTTCTCTTTCAGAGTCCCAAACACAGGCAGTGGGTGTTGTGCTGTAGACTTGAATCTGAGAAAATCCCTGTTCTCTCTTAATAGAAGGGTAGGGAGCAGAGGGAAGGTAAAGGAAAGATTGGAACCCATTGGAACAAGTAGGAAGGAAGAGAAAAATCTTTACTTCAATAACTATGAATACAATAGGTGAAAGAGTGGATCTATGTTGCTTCCAAGCTGAAATTTAAACAAATTTCTCTCTAGAACTATTGTGAGGCATGGTAATTAGGCTTACTAGTAGTCTTTCCATGTTTGTTATGATTTAACTGAGCTTCAGTAGATCTTCATGGAAGACCGTTTAGCGCCTCAATGTGCTGCTAATTTTTTTATCATATCACATAAATTGAGGACTGTAAATAAATGGAATGCTCCAAAATCCCACTCAAATAGGACTATTTTATATTTATTTCATAAATAAATATATAAAAATAAATATGTGATTAGTGAAATAGCAACATTCTATCAAGTCAAATAGCTTTTAATCTGGGATATATATCAGAATTAGCTGGAGCATTTGTTAAACATTTAGGTCTCAGACCCAATCTCACACTGAATTAGTGGATCTGGAGTGAGGCCTGAGAATCTCTATTTTTTAGCAAATGTTTCAGATAATATTGAACTAGATAGTACTTGGACCAGTTTTTACAAGGCACAAAATAGAGACACATTCTGATTGACCCCAGTAAAGTATTTATGAAAAACTTTCGTATCTTGACTCTGTTTGTATGGTTTATTTTGTAGGCCAAAATAACATAATAAAGATGGACTACTTCTTATAACTGCTTCACAAGGATTCTTTCCCCTATAGATATATTTTTTATAAATAGAACAGACTACTATATAAACAGCTTTGGTTTTCCTTGACACAAATTACATCACTAATTTGATCTCAGCTGTCAATATTCGGACATGGGTTTGTTCTTTAGTGTCAACCTATTGCTCAGAGCTACCTGGTATGGAACATGGAAATCAAAGAGATATGTACCAACAATCTCTCTAAACTGATACATAGTTCCTCTACAAGTCCTCACTCCTGTTCTTAAATCCCACCCCAAGACTCTAGCATGATGAATCCTGTGTTGTTCAGTCCTCCCCCATGACCTGGTATTGGCAGGGAATCCTGTTTGGCTTTTTGTGTCCTTGGACTAGAAACCATAAAAGCATAGAGCATACCCAGTTGATAATAGGTAAACATGTCTGCTCTTTTTCATTTTTTAGCAAGTATGCTTCGATCAATCAGTAGGTTCTAAAGGGCACTACATGTTTTATGAAGGTTATATACAAATACTGGCGAAAATACAGGCAGCTGATCCAGATGAGCTTCTTCATTTGCTGAATCTCAAGACAAAGGATTTAAGTACAGCAAAGTGCAGGGTGCTATAAGGCTCTTAGAATCATTGGCAATTTGACATTTGAAAGGAAACAATATTTAGAACCTAACTATAATTGTGCTTTTTTTTTTATAGTGACAGACCTAACACAAGCTCCAATGTATAGGTCTTTAAATACAATGTGCCATTTAAAAAATCTGTCTGGGTTTTACAAACCTGTAAACCCAGAAAAGAATGGGAGAATTTTTTGCATTAAGCACAGTGTCATTTTTTTTGGCCTTTTGTTCATATTTTGCTTTATATTTTCAGTTATTTCCAACTCTTGATCATAAGCCAGTGACAGTTGACCTGACTATGGACTCTGAGAGAAGACTAAAGATTTTCTTCAGCTCAGAAAATGGATACCACATTATCGATGCAGAATCTGAAGTTTTGTCTGATGTGATCCTGCCAAGTAACGTAAGTTAATGCCGTCAAATCCCTAGAAATTATTGTACAGCATTGTAAATTTCCAAATATCAAAATTCTGAAAGGTTTAAAATATGAATAACAACACGTACTGGAATGAGGAGCTAAAAGGTAGCTATAGAGTACCAAAATTAATCACACATAAACAAATATCACTGATGGTTTCTTAGTCCAGTTCAGACATTTTGCTTTCCTGGCACAGTTTTTGTTTTGTTTGAGTATTTGTTTGTTCCTTGTAAATAAAATTTACATTTAAATTTTGGATTTCTACTGAAGACTGACAATCTCAGGCCCTAATTACTATCTGGCCAATTTTCAACTGGAACTGATTCATGCCTGGCCTCTTTTAGATTAGAGATAGATTCTACATTCTCTATTCATCCATTTTATGCAATTATAATAATTAGCTCTAGGAGGCATTTTAAGTGATAGCTTTTGCCTTAGTCCTTTTGTATCCCATAATACAATAACAGATTTTTTCAATGCAAAACAGTTTCAATTGTTGCCTGAAATTTCTGATCAAAAGATTCAGCATTTTGTTAACAAATACACATCTATTCCCTTTTAAATAATTATAAAACAGTGAAAATATGATACAATATCTAAAATATGGATATTTGTAAAAATATTATATATAAAATTTTGATTAAAAACTTGACCATAACATAATACCCTAGACATGTCAAAGTATAACGCTGTCTCATAATTTTTGTTTATGATCAATCTTGTACTATTGAAAATTATATTTTAAAAACTGCCTGAACCAACTATGGTGTCTCACCTTTTTTTGATTCCCAGTTTGTAAACAATTAAAATTCTAGCACATTACCATTATGCAAAAATTCCTGGAGAAAACTGCTAAATATTCTTAAGTCACTGGAATCATGTGACATTTTGAACAACTTTCAAAATTACACCATAGATCTCTATAAATTGCATGGAGCATTTGTTAAAACATTGGTGAAAACATTTTTTAAAGTGTTTTGGTCATATTAACAATCATTAGTTGATCACTTAGTGATTGCCTATGCTTATACAAAACTTACCCTGTTTGTAATGTAGAAAATACTGAAGCACTTCCATCAAAAGCCACTTAGATATGAGGTCAGGATAATTTTATTCTAAATATTATATTTTCCTTAGTTGTCTTCCATAGTTTCCTGTATCTTTTTCTTTATGTGTATAAGATATCTTTTATTTAGAAACTAGTGCAATATTGAACATTTAAGCATTGGTCCAAATTTATACTTATTTGAAAAGCCACTGAAGATATTTGAACCCAGTGTTCCACCTGACCAGTACACAAGAAAACATATTTCCTATTGAAGTAATCCATTAATTACTGTGCAAGCTAGAATGAGAGAAGATGAGTTTTTAAAAATCATTTTCTGACCTAATTAAGATACCTTAGGTATATTCAAAATTAGATTTAGCTAAATGCCCTAGAGTATTGATCCATTAAAAGAGAAAGGACTCTAATATAAGAGAGAGGAAGGTGTTTTCTAAAATGGAATGTACTGAAAATAAAATCTTTCTAAGTGTGCTGAATTACAAATCCGTAATGCTTCACAAAGCCATGTGTGCCAAAGAGCATCTGGCTACTTCAGGAATCATCTGAAAAGCAAGTGGATTAAATCAGAGGCTGTCTGGATTATCAGCAGTCCAATTTTATTATAAACAGTTTTTACTGAGACAACCTTCTTTCTTGCAATTTTCACCTCTTTTCTGATTCAATTGCTCATGCAAGTGCCCAGAGAACGCATTAAAATTGCTTTTCGCCTCTGGATCCCTATTTTAGTTTTAAGGATTGTTGTTGCTGAAACATGGACTCAAGCTCTTGGCCTGAGTATGCTGGGTCTGGCAAGTATAGTTTCTGAACTTTTATTTTTTTCTGTAACTTGCTAATTTGAAAGAAACAATAGAGGAATATAATTATTTATTTCTCAGGGAAACATTGTCAATGTGACAATATCAGCTTAAGCAAATTCTGTCACATTATTTTATGCATTGTGGAATTTAGAAATACTTCTGAATGTGTGTATTGAATATATTTTAATAATATAAAAATTAGATATAAAATTCTACATTTTTGCAGGGGGGGGAAGATTTTTATTTCAAGCTGTGAAAAATATTGTAAACTTGCGGCTTGTAAGCATTTTAAGCTCAAAGTGTTTTTAGGTTGATTTTCTATTTTGTATTATAATGAATTTATTGATAACAAAGGTTATATATTTGTTATTTGGTTCACATATTCATTACTAAAATATTCATTGTCAAAATGTATTTTAAAGCCAAGTCATAACATTGTAGAGGTTCAAGTAATCTCTCTGTATTAGAAATATATTTTTATTTTTTCAAACAAGTCTTTATCCTAAATATAAAGGCAAATCTTTAACAGTCATGACTACAACTCATAAGGTAAGCAGATTTTTCCAAGTGGTGAGTAGCATGCTGTTCAATTTGGAAATAGAACTTACCTTACTCCCTACACTTTGAACCTATTTTGGTCTTAATGCTTAGGAAAGCTGCTTCAATTAAAATAGTAGTGATAAAAAATGTTGAACATATAAATCTCTATGAAACATAATTCCAGCCCCTGGAAATCATTATACCACAGAATATCATCATTTTACCTGATTGCCTGGAAATTGGCATGATGCTCACCTTCAATGCTGAAACTCTCTCTGTGGAAGCAAACGAACAACTGTTCAAGAAAATCCTTGAAGTATGGAAAGACATACCATCTTCTGTAGGTATGTATAAAATGTATCACTTTTTGAGATAATCTCAGAGAAACTTTTCAGGAAAAATGTATCCTGAGTAAAAGTTTCCTGAAAGATTACTTTTTCTTAAAGAACAGAGGGTTATTTGGAGTCTTGCACACCTTTTCCCTTAGTAAGGTGAAGCAAGTGTTTTTCATATACTTAACACAGTCATATGACTACTAAATAGTGAAAAATTTTAGTTATCTTAGTTGTTCATTTAAATTAATTATATAATTAAAACAGAAACTAATTCCTTTCCACAATAAATCTATAATTTTGCTTTAAGTCTCTTCGTAGACTTCGCACAGATGCTGAAAATACTTGTTTCCATTGCATTAATTTTGGAGGATTTACCTTTCTTTAGGAGACTCCCAGTCATAAAAGAATAACAAAAATTTTCTATTTCATACAGTTAGTAAAATTCTGTTTAGTGAGTAATATTCCTGTGAAGAATCAAATCATTTTGAAAAATAATAGATATGACTGGAATACCTATAAGGTACCAATCTGGTGGCCACATAAAGAAAACTGTGTTTTTATCTTCCAAATAGGGCATGCTTTCCTAACCAATGGAGGACTTATGATTTGAGAAATGCAAATGATTTGGGATGCTTGTGTATGTTTCTGAATGTTGATGAATATATTGTTATTTCTAGATAGGGACTAGAATGCATAGGAAAAGTAAAAATTTGGGGGTGAAATTATTAAGATGGAAGATACCTATTCCTAAGGAAAAGAAAAACAGGTGTGTGTGTGTGTGTGGAAGAGAGAGAGAGAGAGAGAGAGAGAGAGAGAGAGAGAGAGAGAGAGAGAGAGTTTGTCAAGAGAGAAACCAGCAGCCTCAGAAATTTCTGTAAAGTAGGTAAAAGTGATCCTCATGTGGCTTTAAGGGCCAGTTTGAAAAAACTTATTTTGATGGACATTTTTTCTATGGGATGATGGTACTTTGCATTGTGTCTGCAGAATCCTTTATTTTTTTCATATGTAGTCAATGTTAAGGATTGTCCCCAAAACCTGCTCCAATTTCTTCTAACAGGCAAGAATTCACAGAGGGTTTTAAACTATTTTAAGTGACAGAAGATAAATGCTTACAGTATAATTGACAGATCTGAGGTGATAGAAGTAAAAATAATCAATCATGTAATAACCTTTACAGTGGTACTTTTGTGATTAATATGTTAACACAAACAGGAATAAGGCCATTCAATTCCAATGTGAAACTGAAGATATCCCTATGTTTATGCCACTAGACAATCAAAGGTGTCAAAAGAATCTTGAAAAGTTATCTGTCCAATTCTTGCCCTTAGACAGGATGATTTGTTAACTAGAGAAAGAAAGCTATTTTACTTTACTAGAATTTGAAAAACATTTTTACATAAAATAAATTATAGCCTTATAGGTGCATGGTATTTTTGGTTTTAATTATTGATATACATTATAGCATTGATGTTAAAGAAGTTACTCTGTTTTTCTGTCTAAAAAAACAACTCTTTTGTTATTTAAAACTAACTCAGATCCAAATTTTCCTAATTTAAATTTTACATTTCCTTGAACAATGACAAATATTTTTGATAGCAAGATCATTGCTCAGCATTTCCAAACAAATATAGAGAGGCTTAACAATCACTAACAGTTTTGCTAAGCATTCTCACTTCCAAATCACTGAGTGAATCCCATTGCAAAAAGCATGCTAGCTCAGTAGCTAGGTTAAGTGGCAGATTCATATGTTGCAGGACTAAGGTAGAAATTTTGTGATGTCATGTGAACTATGTTCTTGCATTTAGCAAGTAACTTTTGCATTAAGTTTAGAAAATTTTGCTGTTTGGTTGTTACTTTTTGGTGAAGTAGTCACATGGGCAAAAAATTCAAATCCATATGGACTAAATGCATTACTTATTTCCCTTGCTCAGGCCAATGATTTTCCTTATTTTTTTATAATCTGGGATTATGTTAATTCTATTCTGAAATGAAACATAAAGTTCTTTCAGAACAGTCATTTTCTGAGTCAAAATATGTTTGTAATTTAATTACAATTTTAAAGTCAATTTCATAAACATAAGTAATTTGGATTACAATAAAAAGAAGCAGAAGATAATAAATTATTGGTAATTTTATTTGAGAGATCTAATAAACTATTGCTTTGAAAGTCACTTTTGTGAAGATTTAGGAATTTCTTCATGAATCTTTTATGTATATTTATACATATATTGGCCAAGTAAATTTTGGTTTAAATAAAGGCATCATAGAACCTTTAAGAAAGACAAGGAAAAGTTTTTAAGAGATGTATATTGTAATTATATCAGTGTATAGTTTATTTCCTTCAAAATAGAAAATGGAAAGTCATATTAATTAATGAATTCTGATTTTAATCATGCTAGCTTGGAAATGAAACTGCTTTATTTTGTTGTTTCCAAGACTATTTTAGCTTGAGTTAACAATTTTATGATTTCATTTACTGGTAGAAATTTTATTTTTCATAAAGTACATAAAGAATGGCAATTTTAAAGTTAAACATTTAATGGTAAGATGCTCCCTGTACCAGAAAATACTGTATAACACCAGTTGAGTGTATGATTATCTACATAATTAGGTTTTCTGTTGCAAAGGAATTTTTGTCATAATCTCCATTGTCACCAAGGCTTAAAAAGTTAAAATCTTAATGAATTTTTCCTGAGAGGGAAAAGGCTTAATGCCATCAAATTAGGCTTAGTTCTACATATACAGTAGTAATTTATTCAATTACATTAATGTTGCTAAAGTCATTATTTGAACAAGTTAATTTTTAAGAGTTTTAATTTTTAAAAGTCAGGTTTCCCATATATAATTGTTGGTTAGAACACCGCTCCTAAGCAACAAAGTGACCAAATGACTGACCATAGAATTAGCAGGAAAAGATGGGTTAACCTGAATTGCAATGCCTTTCTTTATAATCAAACATTAATAATGTTTGAAATTTTCAGTCATCACTGGGAAATATGTGCTTTTCTGATATTTTTCATTGGTATTTTAGCTTTTGAGTGCACACAACGGACCACAGGATGGGGGCAAAAGGCCATTGAAGTGCGCTCTTTTCAATCAAGTGTTCTGGAAAGTGAGCTGAAGGCCAGGTCAATCAAGAAGTTGAGATTTCTGTGTACTCGAGGTGACAAGGTACAATGTACACCTTTAAGTTAGAGCAAAAATAAAGAAGCAATTGAAATTAACCAAATGAATATATGCCCTTTTGTTTCTGGCCACAAATATACTTGTGTTGTGTTTTTTCAAATTAGCATGCTATTGGCAAAAACAATTTTCCATTTTGCAATAGAAATATTGACTTGTTAAATGATAAAATTTTGTTTCAAAACAGCCTCATTTTCAAGAGTAAAAATTTGCAGTTATATCTTAAAATTTAGCCATTATTTGTTCAGTATAAAGTTCTTTATTATCCCTGATCCACTGTTCTTTTTATATTCATATAGAGTATTTTTAAACAAAAATAATTGACCAAATCTGTTGTAAAACATATATTTTTATTAACATGCATTAATTGGACATATTAATGAGATTCATTGTGTTATGTTCACACACACACACATGCAGTGTACGTTGATCAAGTTCAACCTCCATTTGTCCACCACTCCTACACCCTTCTCAACCTCTAGTAATCATTATTCTACATTCAGGTTAATGGTTTTTACTTTCCATGTATAAAAGAGAGCATGAAGCACTTGCCTTTCTGTCTCTGGTTTATTTCTCTTAATGTCATGTTTTCTATTTCCATCCATTTGACTGCAAATGACAGGATTTAATTCTTCTTTATGGCTGAATAATTTCTCACTGTCCATATAGCTGATTCCAAAGCTATGGTCAGAGGGCAACAATAACACAGGCATGGCAGTATTGATATACTAATTTAATTTTTTTTTTGAGGATATACACCCAGAGGTGAGATAGCTGGATTTTATGAAAAATGTATTTTTAGTTTTCTGAGAAATATCTATACTGTTCTCCATGTATAATTTACAAGTCCATGAACAGTGTATGGGAGTTCCTTTTTTTCCACATCCTCTTCAGCATTTATTGTTTTGATTCTTTGTGTTTTTTTCAAATCTGTTTCATAACTCTCAACACAATCAAATAATGAAAGAAGAAAAAAGTACTTATGTTTGCTAAAAACCTAATTCACGAGTTAGGCTTTATGCAGGTACTTTAAAAGCTATATCGATTTTCCTTCAGTGGGTATTACGATGTCTACTTTTCAGGAAAGATAAAGAAAAATGAGATTTGACAATTATTTGTGTAATTTAATAAATTTCAACAACTACTTCATATAGCTAGATGGGATAGTTCATTCTATAAAACCAGGAATACTCCTACTTATCATGAGAAATAACAGTTGAAGAAATAATTCTAATAAAAATAAGGAACATTTTTATTTAGAGGAGACTGCAGCCAGACATGATGTTGGACACCTATAGTCTCAGCACTCGGGAGGCTGAGGCAGGAGGATTACCATTAGTTCGAGGCCAGCCTGGGCTACATAGTGAATTCAAGGGTAGTCTGAACTACATAGTGAGACCATGTCTCAAACAACAAAACAAGAGAGAGAGGCCGGGGATTTAGCTCAGTGGTTTCGCCGCCTGCTGCGCAAGCGCAAGGACCCGCGTTCGATCTCCGGTGCCAAAAAAA